TGAAACTGTCTGACAGACGGGACTTGGCAAGACTCCAAATTAAAAATAGCAATTTGCCACCAGAGACTCTTGCACTTTCCTCCCAACTGCTACAACTTAGTGGGAACTCACGTTTTCTCCTTTTCAGGTATTTTGACATCCTTACCATGCATTTTAGCTTTTCTGCAAATTCCCACAAAACTTTGCATTATGAATACCTTTCCAGTTTATTGTTTTTTTTCCCAGTGTGAGAATACTTTATAGAGAAAACAGAATAATTCAATGCAAGCATCCAATCTTATGAAGTGAGTCTTAAAGTTTACAAAATATATCTATTTCAATGTTTGCCAGTGTCAGATTGAAGTGGGAGCACCAGGGCAAATGCTCCCACCACTGATAAACTTGGTAATAGAGGGCTAACTGAGGGTTACCCCACATGGTCCCTAAACGCCTGCATCAAAGTTATAAAAAAAAAAAAGCCAATTCTGTAAGCCTGATACAAATACAGAGAAAAGAAAGCATTTAATTGATTTGTCAGGCAGGAAGTGAGCCTTCATATGTTTGCAGGTATTTGTAAACTTGTCTAATCTTGTGTATCTGTGTTTGTGCCGATGTTTGTGACAGCTTTTAGAATTTGTCACAAAATCCAGCAGTGCCCCTCCTAAATTTGGGATCTCAATAGGCCTCTGCTTTTAAATAAAATTAGACAAGATTAGACATGGAACTGTGTAGTTTGGCACAAGTTGGTGGGCTTAAGCATTATCTCCACATATACAAGAGACACATTCTAATATTTGCACGTAACTTAGGTGCTGTTACAGTATTCTTATATGTTTATATAAGTTTATATGATTTAAGGGTGTACTGTTTAGCCTTGCACATACTTTAATTGCTAGCACTCCAATTAAATTTATTAAAAGATATGCTTGATCAGGGCTATGCATCCAATTAATGTATTCCTCTTTCATCTACAGCCTGTCACCGTGGTGGAGAGGCGCGATCATGTTACCGCACTAGTTTGGCACGGTCATGCTAGTATGAAAATAAACTTACCTCAAGGCAGATTCCCATCCGGTCTGCTCTCCACACAGATCCTGGCGGAAATGGTATTCAGAAGGATGCCGGCAGCTGCAAAATTTCAAGATTAACAAGTATGACAAAAAACGTGCGTGCATCGTCGCTTTATCAACGTGCATGCATGTTTTGGCATCACAAGGTCAATGCTGACCAATCCTTGCCCTCATAGGACTATTTAAACTCAAATTTGTTTTTCATCATGGTCCTGTAGTGGTTTCCATTTACTGGTAATCAAAGAGTGCATTTATCTTGTGTTTCTATTTGGTATTTTGACTTTGGTTTGTTCTTGACTAATCTTAATTCTGGTATCTTTGATCTATTGGCTTGTCTACTCATTACTGTCTCCTTCTGTATCCCCGACCTTGACTTGTCTTTGACCATTCTTTATTTACGGTAAGTCCAGCCATTCTAAGGCCCGGTAGTAAGTATTTTTCTTACGGAAAGTTTACATATTGATATTAACTAAAACACTGCACGTTTTGTCATTGTATATCCTGCCATATCCACTAAAACTTTAGCTAGAAAGTCCAAACTATCGGAGACACGGTTCTCTCATCTTCGCAAGCCAAATGTGCATCAAGGAAACGCAGCAACACTAATAGACATAAACTATTGATTGCAAATTAAAATGGTTTTAATATAATGAAAATAATTTAATTGAAGGAATCCAGACCATTCCAAGTATATTTATTTTTCGAGTGGTAATTAAATAGCTTGGGTAATTCATGTGCAGCATCTGCAAGGATAGCATGACATCCGATCGTTAAAGCTGCAAATATTTTTACCGCAGATAATGTTCGAGTTTCCAAACAAAATAATTTCCTCTGAACTGTGTGGCCATCTCCAGTGAGCTAACTAATGTGAAGCATGAACAAAAATAAACGCTTGTGCCCCAAGTCAATATAATGTATATACAATACTCAATGCTATTGTACTGATGTCTGGAGGAAAATCCCATCAATAATGCCACTATAGAACAAAAAATTTAACAAATTCCGTGTAGATAAATCTGGGTAGAAAGATGCAAAAACTTCACTTTTTTAACTTAATATGCTCTATGTTAGAGAAGAAGCAACATTGTTAAACACTAAGTGATTAAAATGTGGGGTTGGTAAGATACAAAATATTTCTTCTACTATTTTGTTTGTCCAATTTTATGAAAAAAAAAACCAATTATTTATTTATTTCAAACTCTATTATTGTTGAACAAAAATAAATGTAATGATTTTACCCAAAGACAGTCATTATTTTAGGCAGTATAGCTGCTATAACATATATATTTTTTGGTTTACTGCTCGTTTAATACAATAGTAAAACATTTAAATTAAACCAAAAAACATATGCAGCTAGAAAGTTGCAAAATGAGCTCTGAAAACAAACAAGTAAGAAGTAAGAATTGATCGGGATACTTGATTCTTCCTACAATCCCTCAGGAAATATTACACTTAGCAGTTGTCAGATATTTGGCAAATCTATGAATATGGAAAAGCTGCTCAAAATATTTATTTTATTTTAAAATTCCTCGACAGAGCAGCAATGACACTTATAGCCTCAATCATTTTCTAAAATCTATACTTTCACTGTTGACCTCTGTGACATTTGTTATTGTGGCACGTTCATCAGTAGATATAGTTTATTACATGTATATATTTCTTGTATGTCACAAGCTTTACACCACTTTCACTAGGTATTAATATTTATACAGCACCAACTTGAGTCTTGAGTATTTTCTTTTTGCACCTTGCACACCAAAGCATTCCATTGAGTAGATGTTTTCCATTACCTTATCTCCCTAAAAGTGCTTTAACCCCTTAAAGGACCACTATAGTGCCAGGAAAACATACTTGTTTTCCTGGCACTATAGGGCCCTGAGGGTGCCCCCACCCTCAGGGTCCCCCTCCCGCCCGGCTCTGGAAGGGGGAAAGGGGTTAAAACTTACCTTTTTCCAGCGCTGGGCGGAGAGCTCTCCTCCTCCGATCCTCCTCTTCTCCTCCCCGTCGGCTGAATGCGCACATTCATAATGCTTTCCTATGGACGCTGGTGTGCTCTCACTGTGAAAATCACAGTGAGAAGCACGCAAGCGCCTCTAGCGGCTGTCAATGAGACAGCCACTAGAGGAAATAGGGGAAGGCTTAACCCATTCATAAACATAGCAGTTTCTCTGAAACTGCTATGTTTATGAAAAAATGGGTTAACCCTAGAAGGACCAGGCACCCAGACCACTTCATTAAGATGAAGTGGTCTGGGTGCCTAGAGTGGTCCTTTAAGCACACATGACATGTGTGACATGTCATGATTCCCGTTTATTCCAGAAGTTTGGTCCTTAAGGGGTTACAGGGAAACTCCAAGGTGGAGTGGAGCAATGCCTTTATATTAAATTCTATAAAAAACATTAAAATATACAAAGAAAGAAAACCAAAAAAATGTGCATATTTCTAGTTTCTGCGTTTGCTGCAAATTTCCTGGCTGTGCAGCTTCTGCATTGAGCTTTCAGCAAACCAGGAAGTGACACCTCTCATAACTTTCCATAGAACTGAATATCTAATCTTATAGGAAGTACTTTGTAGGCATAAAACATGTTTCTATCAGTTCTAGTTCACTTTTCAGCTTTATGAAACACAAAGCTGAGGTAGAATTCCCTGAAAACTAAGCCATGACATCGTGCGGAGCAAAATATTTAGATCTGATGAAAACACTGCTGGGTGAGATAGATGAGGCATTATAGGCCTCTTGAATATATAGTGTGCCTTGGATATACACTATTGTATACATGTTTTACTACTGGATAAAGTGTGTAGAGGGACAGCATACTTTATGTGAATACTCTCTTCTGCAAAACAAATCCCAAAGCATATTTGTTAGATACAGTGAGCTAAGAAAAATCTGTCTAAACCTAAACTAATTGTATGCACAAAGAAATACTCTACTCTGGCACGAAATCAGTGATTTGTGACATGTTTTAAATCAGGATGTGTACTATAATTAAAAGCACAACCCAGAACATTCTATAGGTATCTTAGACGGAGTAATCCCAAGAGTTTCTATACAGAGGAGCTAACATGTCTGGAAACACTTTCAAGACAAAATGTGTACAAAAATGCTGTTACAATTAATGAAATCATGGATCTTGCATTCGTTATAACTTGTGAAGGAATTAATCGTCTGACATCTATTGACATTCTGTCCACAAGTTAAACAATTTTGAGCTCCACCCTTATAATTATCACGTAATATCTCTCACAATATTTCTCTGTTAGGTGACATTCTTCATTTATTAGTTGCCAGAATATTTTTGGGGATTAGCAAAAGCACTTTAAACACATCACATTGAATCTTAAAAGGACACTATAGTTACCAGAACCACTTAATGGTTCAGGTGAGAATAGCCAGTCCCTGCAGGCTTTTCAATTTAAACACTGCATTTTCAGAGATAAAGGCAATATTTATCTTGCTGCCTAGAAACACCTCTAGTGGCAGTCACTCAGACGGTTACTTGAGGTGCTTCTTATCTCAGTCCTGCAATCTGTGCAGCACCTATGCTCAGCATCTGCACACTCTGCATGGAGATGCTAAGCACAACCTTTTGCTGCGCGAATGCAATTTTATAACATGACAGGAAGGCTTCATATTTGCTTAAGTCCCTATTTACTAGAACTCCACAGCAACACATTAACACAGAGAGAAACAACCAATCAGAAAAAAGTTGGATATAATAAAACTCCCCTCCCCTCATAGCACTTCCTCTTTCTTTGCTGCTCCTCACCAGCACAGGTCAGAGTACCACTGCCTCCTGCTCTTGTGGGTTGCTGAGGATTTTATATTACTGTTTTAATCTACTACTATATTTGTTTACTTTCTTATGCCTATTATGAGGACCCTGTTCTTCCCCTGCTTTCCATTAGCTTTTCTGACTGTCACTATTTTATCCCCTTACTGAGTTCTACCCCTTTCTGCCTCCTTTCTCTGAGATTTGGAGTGGCTTAGGGGTATGCGACTTGGGTCTAGCGTTCTTTGTTTTCCCTTGTAGTTTCTGCTGCTCGGAGGCCTCGGGAGGCTCTCCTGCTGCCTTCCCAGAGTATGTCTCCGGCGGTCCCACAAGTGTTATCGCGTCCTTCTTGGATCTCGTGCAATTGCGAGAGATCCCAGCGGCCATTTTCTCACTTCCCCATCTACAGCTCACGCGACGCAGCTGGTCTTTGTCTTTCTGCCATGGCTAGTAAGTGTCTGGAGCAGAGGGGGAGTATATTCCGACGGCTGCCCCTTTCCCATCTTGGCCCATGCTAGGCTCCGTGGGGGGGGGGGGAGGGGCGTACAGCTGTCCTGAATTTTAGCCCTTTGATAGGGGCTGCTAGTAGCTCTAACAAACCTGTCTCACAAACCTGTCTGATTTCAGGCCCTGCTCCTGCCAAACAATATGTGATATGAAGATGTTATAGTATGTACAACCTGTCCCACTATTTAATAAACCACATTTGGTGGCCTTTTTCCATTGGTCTCTGGATAGGCTGAGAGACTATTATATGGATAGTCTTACAACTACACTTAATTAGTGGGGTAATAGCTGCTTGATCCAAGGAGACATCTGACTGCTATTTTGAGGTCAAGAAGGAATTTTTTCCTAGTTTGTTGCAAAATTGGAAGTGCTTCTGACTAGGTTTTTTTGCCTTCTTTTGGATCAACATCAAAAACATACGTGAGGAAGGCTGAACTTGATGGACACAAATCTCTTTTCAGCTATGTTACTATGTAACTATGTACACTGCGTACACCCGCTAAGACAAATTTATCCGGGGTGAGCCCTCTACACGCACCTGGTACTTGGCTAGTTGTCACTAAACCAGTACCCCACATTTAGTGCTCTGATTCGCTGTTTGTAATACCTCGCCCTTGATTGACCTGCCTTGTCTGTGCCCACTACTCCCCATTAAGTATACACCCTGGGGAATTTCACTGGGTAAGCCCCAGTTTGGAGATATTTATAAAGATATTATGATACCCTAAAGTGATTTGTCGGGTGTTCTCTCTGGCTGTTTGCCTCTGTAATGCTTGTCCTGCTTCTACCCATAGGTGTATCAATCACAGAAGCCTGACTACACCCACTATGGACACCCCTGCTCAGGAACAAAACCTGCAGGCTATGATCAATGTGCTACAGGAAGAGTGAAGGCCCTGAACCCCGCTCCCAGAAGGGCAAGGCTCCAGCAAAACACTCAAGGAAGATGGATATGGGCTCACCTGCCCGGCGGAGACACCTCTCTGAGGAGGAGTAGGACTCCCTTGTTCCCCCACCCCTGGCAGTCCTGGATGATGGACCAGTCTCCTTCTGGTGGACTAGTCTCTTTCTGAGGATGGCATTATCAGATCTGCAGACCTCTGTATTGGCAGGTATGGAAGAGATTGGGTGGAATGCACCAGACCCACCTTGCCAGACAAGGTCGGCGTGACTCTGGAATTTGATACTTTGGTCTCCACTTATCTGACTCGATCTGGGCATGACCATAGAAAAGGGTATTGAGCACAGCCTCTGCCTGCCACAAGATAAATTGCTGGATATGCTGGTGCCCCTGGCTAGGATTCTATTGCTTGCTGATGAGGCATTCTCTAAGAGTACCACCCTTGCATAAGAGACTGGGCCTTTAGCTCAATTTTCCTGCTGGGCAATTCCAATGTGGCGCTCTGCTTGGAGTGAAGGTAGCAGTCCTCTTACACATGGACGCCAAACTGTCAGATCTGGGGTCGAAGAAACTAGGCTCCTTGGCCAAGGGATTGTTGTTCGGGGAGCCTTTTATCATGGAATCTCTATTCAACCCTCAATAAGGCTCAGTCTTCGATGAAGAGGGCACTGGCATACCTACCCCCCCTCACTGCAGGGAGCCCAGCAGCAGTCACGACCCCTGCGACCATGGGCCGTCTGGATGCCTTATGGGCCGGTACACAGCCGCACTGGCCCGGGTCTGCAGTTCCCGGAGGTCTTGCAGGAAGGGAGAGTTGCACTGTGCTGCTCCCCTCCTGCCTGTGTGGAGCGTGGCCAAGCAGTCTGACAGGAAATGCTCACTGTTAGAGCACTTCCTGTCAGACCGGGAAGTGTGCCAGTAAGGTACAGGAGGGGAAGGGGGAGAGAGAGAGGGTATGGGATGTAGAGAGGGGAGGGGGGAGAGAGAGAGGGTATGGGATACAGGGAGGGGAGGGGGGAGAGAGAGAGGGTATGGGATACAGGAGGAGGGGGAGAGAGTAGATACAGGAGGGGAGGGGGAGAGAGAGATGGGATACAGGGAGGGAGGGGGAGAGAGAGGATATGGGATACAGGGAGGGAGGTGGGGAGGGAACAATGGGACACATGGAAGGGAGGGGATTTGGGAGAGAGGGAGGGTATGGGACACATGGAAGGGAGGGGATTTGGGAGAGAGGGTACACAGGGAGGGAAGGGGGGAGAGAAAGAACAATGGGACACAGGAAGGGGAGGGGGAGAGAAAGAACAATGGGACACAAGGAGGGTAGGGGAAGAGAGGGAACAATACAACACATGGAGGGGAGAGAGGGAGGGTATGGGACACATGAAGGGGGAGAGATGGGACACAGGGAGGGAGGAGATATAGAGGGTATGGGACACCCGGAGCGGAGGGGGGAGAAAGAGAGGTGAAGAGTATGGTACACAGGGAGGGGGGAGAGATGGGGGGTATGGGACACAGGGAGAGGAGCGGAAGAGAGGGAGAAATGGGACACCTGGAGGGGAGATGGAGAGAGGGAACAATGGGACACATGGAGAGGAGGGGGAGAGAGGGAGGGTATGGGACACATGGAAGGGAGGGGAGGAGGGAGAGAGGGTATGGGATACATTGAAGGGAGGGGGAGAGAGGACAGAATGAAACAAATGGAGGGGAGAGAAGGAGGGTATGGGACACAGGGAGGAGAGAAGGAGAAATGGGACACGCGGAGGGGCTGGGAGGGAGGAGGGTATGAGAAACATGGAGGGGCTAAGGGGAGAGGGAATGGGAAAAATGAAGGGGTTGGAGGATGAGGAGCCTATGGGATGGTAGAGGGAGCCGAGCCTTCGGAAGGGCCAGGATTCCCACAAGTGAGCCCTGTTCCTATAAATTACCTTTCCGATCTGTTGTATGCTGGCAGTCTGTCTCACTGTCTCGACAGGTGGCGGGACATTTCATTGGATGCGTGGATACTTCTAACGGTCCAGGGTTATGTAATGAATTTCCATACCACGCCAACGCAGACCCTGTTTCCCCCTACTCCAATATCGTCAATGGTCCATCAGACACAGGTGGACACTGAGATCAGGGCCTTTTTTGAGAAGGGTGCGGTTCAATGTGCACCAGATGATGGAGGCTTCTACAGCTCCATATTCTTGGTTAAGAAGAAGTCAGATGACTTCCACCCAGTGATCATCATATACCGGCACTTCAAGGTGAAGGGCATCCATCTGCTTCGGGACCTTCTCTTCACCGGAGATTGGTTCACACGCCTGGACCTGAAGGATGCATATCTGTCCGTTCCAGTGGACCCTGTGAGTCGATGCTTCCTCCACTTTATTTAGAAGACCAGGCCGTGCCAGTTTACCTGCCTACCCTTTGGTCTCAGCTCGGCCCCATGCTGTTTCACCAAACTGTTGAAACCAGTGATGGCTTTGATCCAGGGGAATTCACTGCCTTATCTACCTGGACGACTTGCTAATATTTTGTGAAGAGTCCTCCAAGCTGAAATCTCAGACGCACTTTGCGTTCTCCTTGTTTGAATCGCTGGGGTATGTGGTCAGCCGGGTGAAATCAGCCCTTACACCGTCATACGTTGTACAATTCATGGGCTTCTAAATAGACGCTATATATATTTCCTGCAGTTATTGGTATCACCTATTACTCTATGATGTTTCATTTTTTTGTATGATCAGTAAAAACATGTCTACATTACTGCATCAATGGGCAGGACGGGCGACTGTGGATCCTACGACCATAATCAAAGATTTGATAAGCAAATACCTCTATGACATGTCACAGCTGATTTATATGGATCATATTAAATAGGCTATGTAGACAAGGGAAGGACTAGAATGGTACCTGATAAAAATAAGTGAAGGCTAAAGGAATGGAGGGGCAACATGTGGATACAATTTAAAGTGGACAGACATCTCTAGCTCCCATTACAAAAATGGGCAATGCAATTAAAATGAGACATACAGGACACAACACAAGCTATGTCAGAAGAATATTTTGCTAGTATTAACATTTATTTTGTGAAAAGTGAAAAATATTGGAACTGAGCATTTAGTCTTTAATAAGCTGAACTAGCTGAGCTTTAGAAAGCATATTGGAAGCTCAAGTAATCCAGCTATAGTTAAACTTCACTTTCCAATTATATGAAGACAAGTTATAGATTGTTTTAAGAAAATTCATAAAAGAAGAGTAGTACAGACACCGCTCATATCACACATTTCACTAAAAACCTTTTTATATGGTTTGAGTGCTGAAATACAACTGGATTAATAAACAATAGGAAACTGGAATGAATTATTAACATTAGCTGACAATACGCTGTAAGCCTGAGAGATAAGATGGCTAGGCCCACGTCACTTAACACTGCCCTGTGGCCATATGGAGGTAGAAATTCAATAGGCTCATGTTTATAAAAGTCAAAAAAGAGAAGTGGATGAATATAGTGTCATGACCAGGTCATCGTTCATTCCATGCGGGAAACATTCAAGGGAATGATATTGCTTACTACAAAAGTATAGTCCGGAAAGGTTAACACTATTTAACAATAAAACAGTTTGCTAAATATTACACATTGTATTCCAAAGAGTTTTGTAAAACCGTCGGAACTTTAGAAGCTAGAAAATAAATGTAACAAAAAACTGTGATTTTGTACTTTGTATATATGATTTAATGAAGCAGTATGTAATAGCCATTGTTTCAAGATAATTATTAAACCGCCAATACTATTTAATGGCATGAACATAAATTACTGTTTTACTCCTCACATTTATATTGATTTGAAAAATTATTACAATTTCTTAGCTGGGGAATGGAATTGTATTTATGAATTTAATAAATTTCATTGTATGAGGCCTGTTTAACATTTGCAGTTCCTGAAATATGTTTAAATATATTAGCGAAAGATGGTGACAGAAGTTTAAAATATAGTCCC